AATTTATTCAGTTAGGGTAGCCTCTCATTGTGGGAGGGGAGGGTCTTGTACCCCAGAAGTGACGTCATGTCATCTGCTGCCGCGTGACGTCATGTCATCTGCTGCCGCGTGACGTCATGTCATCTGCTGCCGCGTGACGTCACGAGCTAACAGGAAGCTGGAGGTCCGCGCGTGAACTGCAATCCGAGGTGAGAAATTTTCATCGCGGTTGTTGTTGTTGTTGTGGTTGTTGTTGTTGTGGTTGTTGTTGTTTACCAAGCTAGAGCCTCGCTCTCTCTCTCGTAGGGATGTCACTAGAGCAGCAGCAGCTTGTGAATCGATGTCCAAGTTGGAACTTTACAACGCGGGGCCTAGACACGCGGGGCCTTGCCTCCTGCCCTCGCCTGGTCGCGTTTGCTTTAATTCCCTCCCTTAAGTTTAATTTGTCTTCACGCGGCTCGCTACTTTGTCACTTTGGTTTACTGTAGATATTAACGCAGTTTTTTTTTTCGTTTTTTTACCAGCCCAAGCCCGCCTGAGCTGCTGTACCGCTCTTGTTTACAGAAGCTACCTGCCCACAACAACAACAAGGTGGGTGGGTGGGGTTTTGTCAACGCGTGTGTCTCAATGTTTTGACTTAAAACTTTCGTAACTGCAACAATTCATATTCTTGGTTCTTTCTGTAAAGTCACGGAGATAGAAAATGAAATAACAGATAAAAATGTTAAATTAAATAAAAAAATTGCAAATAAAGCAAAAAAAACCCACGACGTTTTGACCGCAACACAAGTGGTCTTTGTTTATTTCCATTATCTGTTATTTGTATTTGCTATCTACGTGACTTTAGAACCAAGACTACGTGTGTCAATGTCTGTCAAACACGCTGAGCGCGTGCTCATGTTGACTCTAAATGTGGAGGGGACAACCCCTGCTGCTGTTGACCATGGCAGTGTGTGTGCCAGAGTCAAGTCTGTTCACTCTGTTGAACACGCACGTTATATCAAAACAATATTACATCTTCTGGGTTCTTTCGGTAAAGTCACGTAGAAGGGAAATAATAAAATAATAAAACATAATAAAATAATTCTCACGACGTTTCGGCCACAACGCAAGCAGCCGTCCTCAGGTGAAAACCAGGTCTGACAGACCTGGTTTTCTGATAGACCTGTTTTCACCTGAGGACGGCTGCTTGCGTTGTGGCCGAAACGTCGTGAGAATTATTTTATTATGTTTTATTTTATATTATTTTATTATTTCCCTTCTACGTGACTTTACCGACAGAACCAAGAAAATCTATTAACTCTATTGAACACGGAGGTTATATCACAACAATAGTTTGTTTTTGGTTTCCTCTGGAACTCTTTATAAGAATGGAAAAAGTCAAGAAGTTGACACAGCACACACGTGCAGCAGCTGAAGTCAGATCTGCTCATCTCAGCAATCAGGACATCGTGAGCCTGGCTGGCTTCACACCTCTAAGTTGCGATTGAACATTAATTTATGCATTTCTGCATAACACAAATAGTATTATTTTCAACACCCTTTGCTATGTCAGCTGAATTTAGCTTTCATAAATATTCCTTTTGTAGCTTGACAGCCGAAATTGTGTTCTCGGAGTTTTGGGTTAACATTCATTTTGAAGATACAAGAGCTTCCAGGCATGTTTGTGACCATTCGCCCTCTCATTGTGTGCCATAACAGCCCGTGTGATGAATTTGGTAAACTTTTTCACTATATCATGAATATCTATGAATAAGTATAGACGTGTAAGTCACGTGTGACTGTGTATATATGCATTCCGCTGTGCCTCGATACTGACGTGTAGATGGTGTGGATATTCTTTTTTTCTGTCTGCAGCTGTTGCTTCCTCTGCAGAATTGGTCTGATGGAGCAAAGGCACTCGGCGCAGCTCGTTGCAAAAAGGCATCGATGCGACCAGTGTGCATACAGCACAGATCATACTGCAAACTTGACACGGCACCAGAGAACTCACACAGGAGAGAAACCCTTCAAGTGCAGCGTGTGTGGGAAGGCGTTTGCACAGTTATCTACTCTTGTAACACACCAGAGAACACACACGGGAGAAAAACCCTTCAAGTGCGGTGTGTGTGGGAAGGCGTTTGCACATTCATCTGCTCTTGTAGAACACCAGAGAACACACACGGGAGAGAAACCCTTCAAGTGCAGTGTGTGTGGGAAGGCGTTTGCACATTCATCTGCTCTTGTAGAACACCAGAGAACACACACGGGAGAGAAACCCTTCAAGTGCAGTGTGTGTGGGAAGGCGTTTTCAAAGTCATGTAATCTTGTAACACACCAGAGAACACACACGGGAGAGAGACCCTTCAAGTGCAGTGTGTGTGGGAAGGCGTTTGCACATTCATCTGATCTTGTAACACACCAGAGAACACACACAGGAGAGAAACCCTTCAAGTGCAGTGTGTGTGGGAAGGCGTTTGCACATTCATCTGATCTTGTAACACACCAGAGAACACACACGGGAGAGAAACCCTTCAAGTGC